CAGCCAAGGAAACTTGGAAGATATCAACCTAGGCTAATAACTAAGTACAATTTAGAAGGAAAGGAGAGTGAAAAATGATCATGCGTAGTGGGGATATGTAAATTATATTAAACCTCCAGCAAAAATTTCTGATAAAAAAAACCATGTCATTAACGGCCAAAGAATAAATATCAAGATAACCCGGAAACTTGTCTACGATGAAGTAAAAATTAACTTGATATCGTAGTTGTGTGTGCATTCAACTTATGTCATTGGCTGAAACTAAATGAAGTTGCTTCTATCAGAATAGAAAATCATGTGTTTAGTATATAATGTAGAGTTTAGCTTAAGAATTGCACCATTATCTAAGTGTGTTTACTCTTGCTGATTAACCTTTTACTTCCAGATCTTGAAATTAATAAAAAAAAAAAGTCAAACCAATTGCACAACTCTATGCTCATTTAATTACGTCAAGAATTAAAGATGACTGTAAGAGAAAACAGGAGATTTTCACAGAAATTACCTCGTCAAAAATCTTTGCATATACTGACAAGGCTACGGGTGCATTATAAATACCAGCACATCCGCAAGAGCTCTCCTTTTTTCTTCTCTCATGAGGAGCACTATCAGTTCCAAGAAAGAATTTTTTACTTCCACTCGTCACAGCTGAAACAAGTGTCCGTCCTGAAATGAAAACAAATGGATAAGCTCCAATAAAAAAATATATTTCCCCTCTTTTTAAAACTATAATTATAATTATTATTCATTTTATTTTTTTTAATGGGAGGCTGTTACTGAAATTGGATAGATGTAATAATGATAACAAAAGGAGTATCAAATTTCTTCTTAAATATACTGAATGTAGATTATGGAAAATTGTTGTGTTTTATGATGCACCGACATGGTCACGTGCATCCGACATGATACAAGTCAGATACGCCGACATACGATTTTTTAAAAAAGTACAGACACGACACATTTTTGACATGTTGATTAAATTCTCAAAAATTCTTCATTTATATAGAATAAATTTAGTTTTATACTTGTTATTAATTTTTCTTGTTGAAATCTTTTAAATATGAGTACCTATTTGTTATTTACTAATAATTTTGAGTTAAAAATATATAATATTTCTAATAAAAAAGAAAAATGATCATGGTAGAGTGTCTGAGTAGTATCAGTATCCGAC